TCGATTCTAATAACTCATTTCCGCTTGTGTCTTGGGTTTAAAAAGCATTTTTGACCTTTTTTTTGCAATTGTTTTAAACCCGTTTGGCCCAGCCACAGTTATCAGTTTTTGAAAGTTGACACGTTTTAGAAAACGCAGTTAGTTGAGGGTTACTGTAGGTTTGCAATGCTCAACCCGTGCATGACGCTAGTTCTGTGGACAAACGAATCCCGGATTTTCATTAGTTTAACAGTAACAGCTGTAATAGTAATATAAAGATTCTCCTATTTACCAAAGTGATCGGATAGAGATAATCGGATACGAGAGAAGACTTATTGTCATCAATGTGTCCCCGTCTTTCACGAAATTCTGCTCCCAACCAACAAATCGTTTCCACGTTTCGCTCATCCAAACTGAAATTCTGTTTTTACCACTTTTGGATGCTTTACTGTCGAGCGATTATCGGGCGGGGGTGGGCGAGTTTTTGACCATTTTGCAGCCAGATTTTAAAGAGGTTTTTGTTAATAACTTTTGATAAAACAAATAGTTTCTGAAAGCTGACGTTCTAAGCCATCCAAATCTTATTAAACTTTTTGATTTGATGAGTTTAAGGTGCTTAAAAGTGAGCTGCAAGTTGGAGAAAAAACTTGGCGATAATCGCCTCCCCCCTTACGATAATCGCTCGATCTCCTCCTCCTCCTCTTCCTCCTCCTCCTCCTCCTCCTCTTCCTCCTCCCCCTCCTCCTTCCTCCCTTCCCCCCCTCCTCCTCCTTCCTCCCTCTTCCTCCTCCTCTTCCTCCTCTCCTCCCCTCCTCCTCCTCCTCTCCTCTTCCTCCCTCCTCCTCTTCTCCCTCCTCTCCCTCCTCCTCTCTCCTCCTCTCCCTTCCTCCTCTTCCTCCCCCTCCTCTTCCCTCCCCCTCTCCTTCCTCCTCTTCCTCCTCTTCCTCCTCCTCCTCTTCCTCCTTAGCTTCCTCCTCCTCTTCCTCTTCCTCCCTCCTCCCTCTTCCTCTTCCCCCCTCCTCCCCGATAATCACTCGACCCCCCTCCCCTTAACCGTAAAGATCCAAATTTTGTTCAAAAAACTCTTCTACAATAAGACATCAAAAACTTCTCTGCCAATATTTTCGAATCTTTTCGAATCTTTTCTATTTTTTCAAAACTTTTCATAGATAATTACTTTACTAGTTATTTTAAGCGCCTCTCGTCGCCATGGACTGTGTAATTAAGAAAAAGTGATTTTCGAAAGAAATCTCCGAGATGTAGTTCAAATCGCTTGGTTTTTGAGCCTTACAAAACCAAATCGTTTATGATTTTAGAAGTTTAACAAAGAAAAAGTCTAAAAATGTTGTGGAAAAGAATATTCTTGAAAGCTTGGGCATACTGTAATTGGGTCACTGAAAAGAATTCGGAATAGATTTCACCTAAAGAAATCTATCAAGATCTTTACGATCTTTACGAAATCTATTAAAGTTATAAAAATTGCTCAATTTACAAAAAACTGACATACTCAATTCTCTTTTTTTTAAAGGTTTTTGGCCCATTTAAGGGTTTTTGGTAGAGTTCGGCAAACAAAACCGAAACCAAAACAGACCAAAACCAAAACCAAAACTCAATTTGCATATAAATTAACATGTAAATTTAAAATTGTAAAATGCAAATTTTAATGTAAATGCAAATTTGCCTTTCAATTTTTCTCACTCCCACAAAATCTCGCGGCCGAAAAAAGGACCAAAAACACGACCTCGAAATTTCGAAACAAAAATAGCCTATGGGATAGATTTTTGACGCTGATTTCAAATCTGCAAACAGATTTTCGCTAGCTCCTCCCAGTCGCGAGATATTGGCGGGTTTTGGTTAGTTTTGGTTTTGGTTTGTTTTGGTTTTGGTTTTGGACTGTTTTGGTTTTGGTGGTTTTGGTTTTGGTCAAGTTTTGTTTTCCGAAGTCTAGTTTTTAGTCCATTTAACGGTTTTCCGCATGGTCAAGGCCTCAGTTTTCTTCATAAATCTTTAAAGGCCAAAAAAACGAAAGTCTATTTCTGAATAAGGATTCGAAAATGTTTTTTGGGTGTAAGTTGTTTGGGTTTAAGATTTGATATTTCAAAGATTTCCTCATTCAACTGACCCTTGAAGATCCGAATAAACATCGTAGATGTCCCAAATCGTTGTCATATCGATAGCTCGAGCAATGAAAAACACAAAAAGTGGCACGAAATTCGGGATCAACGCTGAAAAGAGATAAAGAGTTTGTTTCTCTCAAATAATGCATTAGAAAACGTGTAAACTTTCGGAAACTATCGTAATCTTCTCTTTTATCCAAGCTACGGTATTTCTTCGATGAAGGCCGGGTAAAGTATCATCGCGTACTCCGCGTAGCAGCCATTTTAAAATTTCTTTTCTGCTCAAGCTTTCAATGAAGTGCTGGCTGGCTGGCTGGCTGGCTGGCTGGCTGGCTGGCTGGCTGGCTGGCCTGGCTGGTTGGTGGGTGGAAAATGACTCAAAAAATACCACATGAGCTAACAGATTTTTTGAGCCATTTTCCCAGCTCTATAGCACTTCATTGAAAGCTGCAGGAAAGAAATTTTAAAAAAGGGGTTGCTACGCAGGAGTACGCGATGATACTCTTTACCCGGTCTTCTATTCGAAGAAATACGGTATTTACTTTTTTGTTTGATTTTTTTGATGGTTTACAAAGGATATTGAACAAAAAGTGGATATATTGAATAAAAATAGAAAAGATTACGGTAGAAAGAGAAGGGAGAGCGGTTTAGAAAGCAACAAGCAACAAAGCAACAGCAAAAGCTCAACAATTTCCCATTTTTCTTACCTATAATAATCCAAGCTTTTCCGGAGACTTTCGTTCCTTTCCAGCAAACGTGCACAAAACGATTCAACGGCACGATGCAAATCGAGAGTAAATTTGCGTGCGTTTGCCGGGTGTACAACGTGTTGAAAATGATCGAACAGGGGACTGAAATTTGTATTGATTTCAAGAAGTCACTAGTAAGCCGTCTAGCAAACAAAAAGCCGACACTTTAGAAGAAACAAAAGCTGTTTGCTAAAATGCGGCTCATTTCTACTTTACAGGATCCTCTACCAAGTACAGTAACCTCTACCTCTACCAAGCAATGCCATCAATGGGTTAGCCGTCGTGATCAATGAGTATTCATATTTTGAGCCATATTTGAGTACATGCGGCATGACGAGCAGGAGACCAATCGAGAGGATACAGTTTGAGACGGAGCAACCAAAGAACACCCATTTGTACTCACCTCTAAACTCAGTAATTCACTTAGTAATACTTGGCTTTTGCTTGTACTTTGATCAGTCACTTGTAAACGCATCTTTTCTGATGCACTGGATATTTTTTTCTACAGTATCAAACTGTTTTTTGTAAGAATTGGAAGAAGATTGTGGGACATTTGAAACGCCATTAGCCAACTTTGAGCTCAAATTTCTTGGTGTTGGGCTGTTCAATTTAAATAGTTTTCGTATCAATCGACAGAAAAAGACTTGGCGCATCTAATGATATCAAGAAGATTTAAATCGAACAACCCAACATCAAGAAATTTGAGCTCAAAGTTAGATCGCTGATGGGAAAAGGGGCGGGGCTCGTATCAAATGTCCGATAGTCTTCAAGAAACGCGAGACTAAATTGAACTTTACGGTTCAAAAAGGTAAAACTTGAACGAATTTTTAAACTAAATAATAAAGCTTTAAACTAAATAATAAAGCTTTAAACTAATAAAGCATAAAAACTAATTTTTATTTTCGCGCGACGTCGCATTCCAAATGACGTCGCCGCCATTTGAGGTAGTCGATGGGAGCGTCGCGTCGTCATTTCTTTTTCGAGTCATTTTTTTTTTCTTTTTTTTTTTTTTTTGAAATCATTTGTTTCTTCGTCGTTTCTTTTTCGTGAAATCATTTGTTTCTTCGTCGTTTCTTTTTCGTTTTCAAATCATTTATTTTTCTCAGATTAATTGAAAGTATTGTTTTACGCGATAAATTTTGCGTTGAAATGAGAAAGCAATCTATTGGATTGGTCAATAAGTAATGAGTCACATGTAAGAAAGGAAATCTTTGCCGTAAAGTTTTAGTTGACCCACAGCGTTTACCACTAAGAGACAACAGATTTCCCGTATTTCAAAACACTTTCATTGATTGGGCATGCTTTCTTATTTTTTATTTATTTCTTTTTTTTTATTTCAATTCGCCAAATGGGCCCATTTTTTATTTTATGCCTGTTATGCCTAGTTATGCACAAAAAAACACAAATAAATAGGGGAAAAATTTTTAAACCAAAATTTTTAACCTTTTGGACCGTAAAGTTCAATTTAGCCGAATGCGAATTTGTGAGAATTGACAAGTTTTAGGTACTTATTGATTGGATCAATAAGCACTCTGCCAGAAATGGTGCATTTCGAGCACAAAGTACACTCTTATAGTCCAGCGCCAGTCACAAACCTGGTGCTCGCCCGCAAACTGACTACCAAAATGAACCCGTTGAGAAAAAGTGAAATCAGACAAGTGACCAAGTAATAAATCGACGCGAACATCTCGAACATCGGGCAGAAGAAGTGAGCAATTGAAGACAAAAGGTAAAGACTGTCAAATAAATTTCAGCGAAGACATTTCATAAAAGTTGAGAGGGGAGTGAATAGGCGAGAGAAGATTCATTTACGTCAATCCACCGCCAATAATTACAGGAATGAAACTGGCAATTTGTGTATCGCCAAAAGAGTTATTTTACGAAAAAGAGGAGCTCCTATGGGAAATTAAAAACGGAAAAATTACTGGGGAAACGATCAAAAAGGGGAAAAGGAGGGTGGGGACTTTGTGACTGGTTTTTGAAAATCTTTCACTTTGTTTTAACATTCTATCTACATCAAAAACGCTTTGAGTTGTGAGAAAACGGAGGGTAGACAAATCGTCTGCTCAAAAATTCCCTTGTTCCAAGAAAGTTTGTGCGTTTAGTAGTTTAAGTTTAACGAGAAAAATATACAAAGAATCATGACAAAAATTCATTTCGAAGATTTCTCATCACATGAATGAATCTTTCCCGTCAGATCGATCGCAAGGTAGATGTTCGACTCGTGAATGGGCAACTAAACAATAAAAATTTAGCCAAGATGTATTCGCATTTCAATGTTTTACATTATTTTGCTACATAGCACGTTCATGCCAAAAAGCAATTAACGCATTTGTCTTAAAAATCTAATCTATTAGATTGGCAACTTGAAAGTTGGTACACTTTTTCGTATTTTCCATAAAACATATTTAATACGCCAATTGAATTAGACTTCTCGGCTCTTGCGTAGTTTCCGGGTACTTTGAAAGGATCCGGGCATTTTAAACGACTCGTCACGCTTTGAAGGCCTATAATTTTGTCCAGAGATAATATCTTTGTTAACTCTTTATATCATTGGACAAAGGACATTTCAGGCTTTCAAATGATACTAAATAGAGCTTGATTGGATCATCAAGTCGAAGGAAATCAGAGCCAACTCTGAGCCAATAAGGCCTATCCAACTCGGGTGTCGTGTCGCCTAGTTTGCATGGAAATAAAAAATCCAATCAATCTCTATTTAGTATGATTTGAAAGCCTGAAATGTCCTCTGTAAAATGATATAAAAAGTTAACAAAAATATTATCTCTGGACAAAATTATAGGCCTTCAAATCGGGACCACCCGTTCAAAATACCCGGAAACTACGCAAGAGACGACTTCTCTAAATAAAAGTTATATATTATCTAATTTAAGACATGCTTAAGCAAATTTGGGTAACTTTTGAAACGAATTTGAGCAGAAATTCAGGTTTTTCTGAAAATTCTTCAAATGGAACTATAACAAAAATGATTGATTAGATCTAGCTGAAAATTTGGCTATTTATCTAACTTGTTATGCTCTCTCTTTTTTTATTGACACTAAAATAGGTTTATGTGGAAGAAAGTGCTCAAATCGCTTTATCGAGTGTTCATCATTTTTAGTTCCTCAACTTCTTGCCCCCTAGAAACCTACAAAACCAACGCTTTTCTAAATCTGTAAAAAGCCTGTTTTAGAGAATAAATGGGCCTTTTTTATTGGTAAAAACTGTAGATTAGTTGATTTACTAGTTATTTCTAAAAAGTGCAATGAATAAGTATACCAACTTTAAAGGTGCCTAATAATAAGAATTGTACCTCATCGAGACGCTTCTTCTGAAACTCTTTGAACGGCGTGCTGAACGACAACTCAAACTTCTTCTCGATGCGCCTCATCACAAAAAGACGACCACTAAATGATTCATCAAAAGCTAAATGCTTCAAATTGACAACCAACCGTTTAACCATAGGATCCCCCAATTGATCGACAATTTCTTTAATTGTGGTAGAAGGAATTCCTGGGATCTGAAATTAAAAAGATAAGATTTGTCAACGAAAAGAGTAAAAATTTCCCCCACCGCAATGTGCTTGATCTTCAAACTGTCTCGCGGTCCATGATCTATGACGGCCAAGCGAATTTGAATCGAAGGCTTAGGAGTTCGAGTCTAATAGTAAAAGCAAAACATTGCTAAAATGCCTTAAAAACTATCGTACCTGCCGCTTTTCGGATCCGGTAAGCGAGATGAGCTTCTTGATAGCTCGTTTCGTGTTTTCCTGAATCCCCGTGCGCACGTCCGCTTCAATCTCTTGCTTTGACAACATTTTTGTCAAAGCTCGACAACATGGATGCTAAAGGAAAATGTTAATACTTTTAATGTTTAGCTTAAAGAAGTTGTTTAGCTGTTTAGTTTCGCGTGCCTATAGCCAAACTTAAATCCTATTAATTGGCTAACAAAGTTTAAACAATATTACTTTTATATACGAGTGAAAAGCTGTCTTATACCAATTTACAAATTTTATCAACAATAGACTAAACTTTATAGATCTATAGCTTAAAAATAGCTTAAATTGGTTTTAATAGCTTGGTTTTAATAGCTTGGTTTTTAATAGCTTGGTTTTCATAGCTTCAAAATAGCTTAAAAGGATAGATCTAAAGCTTAAAAATTGATTTTAACACAAGGCAATAATCACTCACAAGACGTTTCTTCGTTTGTTGCTGGGTGATCACGTATTCAGTGTAGAATTTCTTGCACAACTCGGACGGCAACCAGGTAAACGCACCGCGGTAGCAATCCCAATTCGAGCAGCCAGTTGAGCCTAAAATAAGCAAATCAATTTCCTAAAAAGTTCAATAGTAAGCCAAATATTTCGAAAACCTGACCATCGCTGTTAATGACAATTCCCGAGCACGCCTTGCACAAGTAATGATCGCAACGTCCGACATTCTAAAAACAAATAAAACGAGTTGTTTACGAAAATTTACTATTAATTGAGAAGATTGATGAAAAAGTCCACAAGGCCCATCACATTTCACACCGTCTAAATAAAAGAGTCATTAAAGAAACACAATAAACACGTCACTTTTAACGCGAAGCATCGAATGAGTTGAAATCGTGGAAGTAGCCGACGAAATGGCATCGTCGAGACTGCCGGGTGAAAGAGCTAAAATTGCACAATTGCAATTGCAACTATTAGAACTTTAGCTTGATTTAGCCAGGCTCAGGACAAACAGAGGCCAATAATTGATAGAGTTCTTAAAATTATGACAATCTTTAGGTTATAGAAGTAGGATAAAACAGCGTTCAATTTATCAAAGAAAGAAAAGCTTACCACTTTTCTGATTGTAGGGATCCGCTTGGGCTTTTTCTTCGTCGATCTTCTCCGTCCAGGTGAGCTCGTATTTAAAACGCGTCCTAAACAATGAAATATGCAAATGCAAAGCTTGTAAGTCAACTAGTTTTAAAAATTTACTTACAAGTTAGATTTCTCGTTGTAAGTGGCAGTGAGGGCGGCTTGAATGGGCGAGAAAACGAGCGTCCGAAGCACCGGTGGAACGTAAAGATTCGGCTTGTCGTTGTCTCGATTTGATCGCGATCGCCTAAAAATATTCATAATAGACATGTTTATCGGTCAAGTTAGTGCAAGATCGAAATATAAGCATAAGCAGAATATAAACAGAACATTCTAGCAAAAAAAAAATTCAAAAAGCAAAAAATTTTATTTTGCTTCAATATGATCAGAAACGTAATCAGTAGGTTAAATTATGCCAGAAAAAGTGTTTTTGGTTTTAAAAAATGTTTTGAGAGGTCATTTTTTAGACCACTTCTCTGTGTATTCCTCTCATCACACTGTATGAGCGCGCACTTTGAAGCCCCGAAACTCGGCTTAAAACGCCTTTTCCCAAGTTTTCGTTGTGTTTTTCGGAATCTACGCATAAAACTACCCAAGAAAAAGTGGTTTTGAAAAAGAAAAAAGTGCCCCTGCCCCTAATCTTAATAGCGACTAGAAGGGTAATTTTCAACGCGTCGAAATGTGTTTTTTCAGTTGAAAGCCTAGGCTAAAACTGTCAAATTCGTGCTCAGCATCCTCGATTACCCCTAGAAAAGTGAAAAAGTGAGAAATATAGGTGCCCCCACAACCCACAAAGTACCAGTTGACTCGTTTACGGTCTCATTTTGAGTTCCTCTTTCTGTATGACGTCATAGTGAATTACACTATAGGTACTAAATAATATTAAGGCTAAAAACTCAAAAAACTATGGGCAACCTACTTTAAAAAACACTCTTATCATGATTAACGCGATCGATTAGCCTAGAAAAATTGAAAAAAGACGGAAAAATGTCGTAGCCGATCGACTACGACATATATTAATTGGTTACGACATTGTATACAGGGTGCGCCAAAAGTTCCCGAACTTGTATTTTCTGCATTTTTGGTAATTTTAGATAAAAGATACGATTTTAAAAGTAAGAAATTCGAATTCCTCGCGAAAAACTGATTTAAAAAACGTTCCTGGTTAATTTATAAGTGCAACACTATTTAAGACAAGTGATTGAGAAGAGGGTCCGCTCAGGGGCGCTTTGGTCGCACAGTTACAGGGCGCACTTACAGGGCGCACTTACAGGGCGCACTTACAGGGCGCACTTACAGGGCGCACTTACAGGGCGCACTTACTACGCCCTGTAACTACGCCCTGTAACTGCGCCCTGTAACTACGCCCTGTAACTGCGCCCTGTAACTACGCCCTGTAACTGCGCCCTGTAACTGCGCCCTGTAACTTAAATAGTGTTGCACTTTTAAATTAACCAGAAACGTTTTTTAAATCAGTTTTTCGCGAGGAATTCGAATTTCTTACTTTTAAAATCGTATCTTTTATCTAAAATTACCAAAAATGCAGAAAATACAAGTACGGGAACTTTTGGCGCACCCTGTCGATGGCTCCTCCCAACCACCAATGTACCAATAGCAGTTTGCTGTTTTCGTATAAACACCAAAAGCCAAACTTACACTTTGTCGTCAAGAGCCGTGAAGGTGCGATCGATATTCCATATTTCATACATTAACATTAAAAACCCCCAAACCACAGATTTATGCCAAAAATACCTTTCGATAATACAGTGTGGTGCAAAAAAAATGGGCCAAGGTAGAAAAAGTATTGTTTCTATTTTCTTTTGTGCTTTTCCTTCAGATATATCCTATTGATTCTTTATTTTAGATGTCTCCGCGCAAGCATCTATCTACTCCCGATAAGGTGAAGATAGTGGAAGCGATGAACAATGGAGGAAACAGCCGAGCTATCGGAATTCTCTTTGGATGCGGGAAAAGTACCGTGAATCGTCTTGTAGCAAAAGCAAAAGCCGGTGGAAATCTTCACAGAACTCCAGGAAATGGCCGGCAACCAATCACAACTCCAAATGAAGATCGATGGATCATCAGGGACCATCGAAAAGACTCAAATCTGACATCGAGCCATGCGATCAAGAAGCTGAAGGCCGTTTCAAACAAAGATATTTCAAATAACTTCTGCCGAGGACTGGCCCAATTTTTTTGCACCACACTGTATTTAAATGAATAAAATTTAAGCGCAACTTCTAGAGGCAAGAAAATGGTCAACAAGTTAGCGCAAAATGCGCAAGTTAGCGCAAGCGCAAATTTTAAACATTAAAAAAACTCACGTGTCCATGATTTGTGAAAAAAATTCGAATTCTGAACAGCCAACGAAGTCGAAGAATGGAAAGAATTGTAAAAGATGACATTTTCTCGTCAATTATTTCGTTAAGTATCACCGTTAAATGCAAATTTTATGAAATGTTAACCAGGCTGAAATGGTCATTATCTGTTAAACGCAAATCGAAAAACAGAAATTTCCCTTTCGCGCGTGTTCTTTGTTATCAAAAATACTAAACGCGTCCTTTCTGGCGCACTCAACTCTTTGAATAAGTCGATAAAGTACAGAGGAAACGTTGAAACGATATGAAAATGAAAATTGATGGTATTTGTTGCTTTCCTGTCTTCTTGATGCTTTATTATAATGGGTGAAAAGGTCCGCAAATGCCCCGGATGCGCAAATGCCTCGGAAGCGCAAATGCCCCGGATGCGCAAATGCCTCGGAAGCGCAAATGCCTCGGATGCGCAAATGCCTCGGAAGCGCAAATGCCTCGGGTGCGCAAAAAAAAGTCTCGTTTGTCCCACTTCTCAGAAATTTATTTTTTGCTAAAGAAATTCTGTTGCGTTTCGTGATTTCCCCTCAAATCAGACGGTTGAAATTTTTGATTTTTTGGAATTTTTGTAGTGTGAAAAGGAAAATTTGCGTTAAAATATAGTTTTTTCAATGTTTCTCTTGAGTCTACTTTAGTTTTTGTGTTTGTTTTCGTAGAAATCGTCTGACATTTCGAAATCCGAATTTTTTGTTTTAGTGCTTTGCGTAACGGGACAACACAGAAATAGAAGTTGAGAGTCAGACAAGAAAATCGAAAACAAAGGCAGCTTTTGTGAATTTCTGAGGATTCAGTTAGTTACTGTAAAGCAGATAGACTCCAATTATTTACTTGTTTTGGAAGTTTTACTTTTCGAATCGTTTCTGGTGGAGCTTGGGTGCACGTTTCTGGTGCACCAAATCCAAAATTGCCAAGCCACGCCTGGGACAAGGCAAGCTCCGAATTTCCCAGGTCACTAAGTGAACGATGTCCAGGCCACTGAGTGAATCATTGCCCAGGTCACTAAGAGAACCATGTCCAGGTCACTAAGAGAACCATATCCAGGTCACTAAGTGAATTATGGTCATGGGTCATGGGTCAAGGGAAAGGCAACAGTAGGATGTGGCCAAATGAGATAAGCCATAGATTGTTCGAGGCAGAAGGTGGACAACCTTTTCTTCAGATTTTGTCCGTTTTCTTTATTTTTGATCTCATTCGATTCAGTTTGATTGCTTGTCGAATGGGACCAAAATTAAGGAATCGATCAAAAGAGGATTGCGGATCTGAAAAAAGATTGCGATAGTTTTCAAATGATACATCTTTTAGGACAAAACTCTATTGCGGTCTGGGCATGGTTCACTTAGTGACCTGGGAAAATCGGAGCTTGCCTTGTCCCAGGCGTGGCTTTGCAATTTTGGATTTATTGCCATATTGTCAAGTGTCTACCGTAGTTTTCTATTTCTATTGGGCATGCATAAAGGAATGTTTTCCACTAGAAAAAGACGAAAAAAAAAATTGTAGTTGTCCTTTATGCACGAATCTCTATCGAAAAAAGAGGTGTTTTCTATGAATCAAAACTTTCGACATATTGTTTTTATAGTTTAAATGTTATAGAAAACGTTAGAAAAGGTTAGAAAATGTTAGAAAACCTTTAAAAAAATGATAGTTTTATTAGTTTTATTAGTTCTATTATTTCTATTAGAAAAAAAAAGAATTGTAAACTTTTGAAATGCTTCTAAAAAGTCTGGTCTCTCTTTTGTTTATTTATGAGTCTACGAGGAGGCTATTTTCATTGTTTTTAAAAGATTCAAAAAGCAATTCACTATAGTATAAATATAGCTTTATTGCTGTTTATTATTCTAGAGAAATTTTTGGTGCTTATCTTGTCTTGAATCTTTTACCAGACTTACAGTAACTCGACAGCTTGCCAGGCTTGACAGCTTGCCAGGCTTGACAGCTTGCCAGGCTTGACAACTTGACAGCAGCTCGACAGCTTGACAGCAGCTCGACAGCTTGACAGCAGCTCGACAGCTTGACAGGCTTGACAACTTGACAGCAGCTCGACAGCTTGACAGGCTTGACAACTTGACAGCAGCTCGACAGCTTGACAGGCTTGACAACTTGACAGCAGCTCGACAGCTTGACAGCAGCTCGACAGCTTGACAGGCTTGACAACTTGACAGCAGCTCGACAGCTTGACAGGCTTGACAACTTGACAGCAGCTCGACAGCTTGACAGCAGCTCGACAGCTTGACAGGCTTGACAACTTGACAGCAGCTCGACAGCTTGACGAGGCTTGACAACTTGACAGCAGCTCGACAGCTTGACAGGCTTGACAACTTGACAGCAGCTCGACAGCTTGACAGCAGCTCGACAGCTTGACAGGCTTGACAACTTGACAGCAGCTCGACAGCTTGACAGGCTTGACAACTTGACAGCAGCTCGACAGCTTGACAGCAGCTCGACAGCTTGACAGGCTCGACAACTTGACAGCAGCTCGACAGCTTGACAGCGGCTCGACAACTTGACAGCAGCTCGACAGCTTGACAGGCTTGACAACTTGACAGCAGCTCGACAGCTTGACAGCAGCTCGACAGCTTGACAGGCTTGACAACTTGACAGCAGCTCGACAGCTTGACAGGCTTGACAACTTGACAGCAGCTCGACAGCTTGACAGCAGCTCGACAGCTTGACAGGCTTGACAACTTGACAGCAGCTCGACAGCTTGACAGGCTTGACAACTTGACAGCAGCTCGACAGCTTGACAGGCTTGACAACTTGACAGCAGCTCGACAGCTTGACAGCAGCTCGACAGCTTGACAGGCTTGACAACTTGACAGCAGCTCGACAGCTTGACAGCAGCTCGACAGCTTGACAGCAGCTCGACAGCTTGACAGCAGCTCGACAGCTTGACAGCAGCTCGACAGCTTGACAGCAGCTCGACAGCTCAACAGCTCGACAATAACTTTGTCTAAAGTACTACAGTAACCCTAGATGTACCCTGGATTTGTGTTATGCATAACTGCTTCAACTTTCCACCTTCAACTCAATTTTCGAGCTACCGTAGTCTTGCCGGTACTTTTGTATTATCTGGCAATCTTTTCGCGTCATTTTTCACGTGCTCTTACTTAATTTTTTCACTTTTACCTTTCACTTTTTCATTTTGAACTCCATTCTTTCATTTATACAGTTTGCGTTCACATTCTCTGTCTTTCAGTGTTGATTGTTTTCCTAGGCTTTGGCTCTAGATCTTAGAGAGGTTGCGGCACCTGGGCTAAGTCTGAGTTTCCTAGAGATCTTTTTATATCTTTTAATATCCTTTCAATAGAATCAAACAAACAAAAAGTGAATAGATTGGATAAAAATAGAGACAGGCTACGCTAGCATTCTTTAGAGCTAGCGTGGCATTCGCTAGCATTCGTCAGGCGTTTGGAAAGAGTAAGAATTAAAGATGGAAAGTTTCTCGCAAAGATTACTGTAATAAAACTAGGTTGATGATAGGAAATGTGAGGATGAAATGATAAAGATTTAGACTGGCTAGCTAGACTAGAACGGTAGCTAGATCCAGTTTTAAACCTGAGTACGAAGCTGCTGAGTACCTTTTTACACTTTAAAAACATCTGACATCTGACATAAAAAGGAAAAAAATCTAGCAGCAAGCGGAATTGAACCCTCGAAGAAAATCGGTTTGGTTTCGGAATCTAGCACACTATCCATTAGGCCACCGCTGCTTTGTCAAAAGCACTCTTTCAAAAGCACAAAAGCACAAAAGCACCAAAAGTTATAAGCGCTCTAGAAAATTCGACACGTTTTAGTTTTTCGACACGTTTTACCGTAATCTTAGTACAAAACACTCTACTTACAGTAATCCTAATAGAATACAGAGCTCTAGTTACAGTAATTCTAAAGCTAAATCAGTACAAATCTCATTCCAAATTTTTAGACTAACTACAGGGTGACCGCAAAGACGAAAACTTTTTTAGAAAAGGATCTAGGAAATGGCTAATTTATTTCAAAACTGGCAAGTGTTATATAGAGAATTGTAGCCCTTAATCTTGGCTGCATTTAGCTACCAAAAACTTCTTGATTCGACTTATACAACTCATTTAACGGCCGAATGACAGAGTCGCTAGAGAGATGTCGACTAGCGCTCATTCAAGCGCTTGTTAAATGAGTTGTATAAGTCGAATCAAGAAGTTTTTGGTAGCTAAATGCAGCCAAGATTAAGGGCTACAATTCTCTATATAACACTTGCCAGTTTTGAAATAAATTAGCCATTTCCTAGATCCTTTTCTAAAAAGTTTTCGTCTTTGCGGTCGCCCTGTAGTTCGAGATCGCCTTCAATCGAGAAGTTCGAGTGTTTTCTAGTCAATTTCTCTATCTTTAAACGAAACTATAAACAAAATCCTTATTTAAATCAAAAAAAACCAACATTTCCATTCAATAATTACCCAATTTTTGCTGATTTTCCTTTTTTTAAAATTTTTTTATCAATTTTTTAAATTTCAATGATCTCAAAAGAAAGAATCGTCAAAACAGCTAAACAAAAATGATTCAATTTCTGTTTTTTTGTAAAGAAAAATAGAGTTTTCAATGGGAAAATCAGCTTTTCTTTTGAATTTTCTTTTCAATTGCATTTCTTTTGATCATTTACTTATTTTGGGGAAAAAATTGAGAGCTTTTCAAGTGTTAAAATCAAAAAATTGCATCAAAATTACATTTTCTTTCAAATCTACTAGCAGAAAAGCTTCAGAAATCGTGAAAATGATTGCAAAGAAACGAATTCCAAGTGCTAGAAAACCCCATGATGCGAATTACAGCGTAAAATGCAAATTGGAATCAATAGCGCAGTGGAGCGCGCCCTGACGAGCACACGATCCGGGTTCGACCCCCGCCAGTCACCACCTACTATATTTTTTTGTAAAATTTTATTTAAAAAGTACAACTACATGCAATTTCATTAGATGCATGTTTCAGCGTTTTTTAA